CGCAGCTGCTCGCGATATCCCCGCTGGGTGATCCTGACACTGGTGTTCCGTTGTGGATTGGTATCATGCCTCGCGGTGTCATTATCTTCGAGGAGAAGGTAGTTATTAATACTCAGACAGCAGTCTTTGAGTATCTTCTGTTCGCTTTTCTTATAGCATTGTATCCTTAACGTTTTATTTAGGCTGGTCAGCGGGTGCCGATCAACCAGTTCCCATGGCATCTGATCCACAGCTTGCAGTTTGACCATAAAAAGTTCCAGATCATTAAGCGCTGCATCTCGGATCCTGACGCCGTTCCTTCCGTTGCCGAAAGCCTTGAATCATTTGTATTTTTTGCTGATTCTTATGACAAGTATGTGGAACCTTTAGCTCTCTTTTACCTCTTCTCTGGCGAGGACACTCGTGGATAGCGATTAACCGACCGCGTTGTTTTTTGGTTGTTGCATACCAGCACAAGATTATAACCTTATTCTAGTTGCAATGTGGAAAATTGGTTTTTTTGAACCCTGCTTTGGAGTGGATTACAATTTACACGTATTTACCGTCATAGTTTACTTTAGTTTGAGCCTAGAGTAGATTTTTGTTGTTGGACCTAATGCGGTGATAGGTTTTGGTTTTGCATCCGTGCAGTGTAGATGCTGTCATGCCATTGAGCCTTGGTTGCTTAAAACGTCTCCAACACTGTTGAGTGCAAAAGAGCGGTACGGGCATACTGCTTTATTCAAAATGAGTGGTACATAGTCTAACAGTCAACTTTTCTTTATTCCATTTTTTAATAGGGGGCAGACTGCTGGGAAGTGACAAATATTATTCTCCTTGCTTGGATATGAAACATCAGTACACATGTCCTGGCCACGCCATTTCGTCAGATTTTGTCATTGATTCATTTCCTAGTATTATCCAATAGGTATATGCTGATTTTCTCTCTGTCTGACCAATGGGTCTCGACTTTCATCCAGACGGTAGCGGCACGGTAAACGGATTTCGGCGGTTTTCGGTCTTTCTGTCTAGCTTTGTTATCAGAATACCCTTGTCATAAAATAATTTGTCTTGAAGCTATGATGTTCCCTGTTACTTTGACTGAATGCATCGTTAGCTGCCCGGTTCGTTGATTATGCCAAATAGCACAACTAATAAATTACCTTTAGGCGTACTTCGCCCTGATATATGATCTTTTGCTGTGATTGTTGCCAGTTTTTTTGACCAGACGCCGAGGATGGATTTATGGAGAGCCCAATCCGTAGAAAAATTACCTAATCTTTAAATGTTTAACTTCTTCAATTTTTTTAGAACGCTCTTCATTTACTGTAACAGACAAATGCTGTGACTACGAAGCTAAGATTTAAAGGTCTGAGGATTCAGAACCACTCTTCGTATCTACCCTTTAGGAAAATTTGGCCTTCTTCAACTCTGCGGACACAGAACGTCGTCAGAGTCTTTCATCTTGTTCTTTTCCATCAGGTTTTTCTTGTCATTCTTCTTTTCAATTCTTCATACCATAACACTTTTCTCAGCTTTCAACTCTCCATGTTAAGTTTTCATTTATCAGGCGTTCTACTTCATCGACCATTATGGTCTGTAACTCTGAACATTAAATCCCGATGTCGCAAAACCACTTAGGGGCGCCTTCTGTATCCTTTCAGCTAACGATTCTATTTGATACTTCTCTTTTGCTTCGCATGATTTGAAGCCAGTGTTATATTATGTAAATGTTTCATACTTTACATTGTAGAAGCAGTTATTTTGTAAATTTCGCTGCC